ATGATGACGATGATGATGATGATGCTGATGATGATGATGATGATGATGATGATGATGATGATGATGATGATGATGATGCTGATGATGGTGATGGTGATGGTGATGGTGATGGTGATGGTGATGGTGATGGTGATGGTGATGGTGATGGCGATGATGATGATGCTGATGATGATGAAAATGGTGATGATGATGATGCTGATGATGATGATGATGATGATGATGATGATGATGATGAGATGATGATGATGGTGTTGTTGATGATGATGATTACGATGATGCTGCTGATGATGCTGATGATGATGAGGAGGAGGAGGATGATGCTGATGATGATGATGAGGAGGAGGAGGAGGAGGAGGATATTATCGTACGCTGAGGAGGAGGAGAGGGGATCTAGAATGAACAAGGAGGAGGAGCAGGAGGAGGAGGACGACGAGGAAAAGGACGAGGAGAAGTGGGGAAGGAGGAGGAGGAGGGGGAGCCTACTGAACTGATCCAATGCAGTCACAGGTCAGCATCTGATGCTCGCTCGCTCGACCGTTTGCTCGTTCTCCTCTTCCTCGTTCTTTTAGGCAGGCCGCTGGGCGAACACGAGCGCTCGTGGCGTCATCTTCCTCCTTTTCCTCAACAAGCTGCTCGTTTCATTCCGTCGTCCTGACTTGGCGGTTCTCGTTGCTCCGTCTTCCTAATCGGTATCTTCCGCCGCTTCTGTTATTTTTCCCCTCTGCCATTATCCTCCGCCGCTTCTCTTATTTTTCTCCGCTGCCATTATCTTCTTGTCCTTCTGTCTCCTTCTCTTCTTTCCTCCTCTCTTCTGCTCCTGCACCTCCTACACCCACTCCTCCTTATTATTCTCCTCCTACTGCCTTTCGCCTCCTACTGCCTTTACCCAGGAAGACACCGACAATACAGCCGATTTTCAGGCCCCCCCGTTCGGTGCACATGGATGTCCCAAGGATGGCAACCCCGTCTTGCCGCACCAATGTCAATGGATGGATGGCAATTCGTGGCCACCGGCTGCTGAAAGATGTATACAGCTTGCCGACCCCGAAAGACCCACCGCGGTCTCAGGCACTGCTAATCGGCGAAGGGGGAAGGCTTCCTGGAAGCACCCCAGCCTCTCAGAAGGCGTGGGCCTCTTCTGCAGATGCAACGCCGGTGCCTTCTGAGAATCAGTCGCCTTCTAAGAAGCCTTCCCCCCCTTTGCTTATGATGACCGCGACAGAAAGAAAACCTTGACCGCCAGAAAGAACGTACTTTAGCCTTGACCGCCAGAAAGAATTTCGACGAGCGCCAGAAAAAGCACCCACAAACTCAAGGTTTTCACGTGTCGGGCCCTGGGAGACCCTCGTCCGACACTGTTTCGACACTATTTCGACAATATTTCGACACTTTCCGGGTGCTCGAAATTATTTCTGGGATGTGGTCCTTAAGTACGATGGGAGCAACGCGTCGCCAACTTTAAGCCTACGCAAGCACACTGGGAACATCCTTCCTGGGTGTCGGCGCCCCCTCGCCTACGGCGGGCCCCAGAAGCCCTCACCCTCATCGTCCTCCCCCTCGCCCCGCCCCTCTCCCTGCTCGTCTTCTGCGCTTGCTCCTCCTCCTTCTCCTCCTCCCTGCTCTCCTCTTTCCTCCCTGCCCCTCCTCCTCCTCCTCCTCATCCTCATCCTCCTCCTCCTCCCTGCTCTTCTCTTTCCTCCTCCTCCTCCTCCTTGCGGTGCCCGATCTGTTTCCCCAGTGTTTTCGATGGCTCTCAGTTTGGTTCTGCTCATCATCCCCCTCGTCGTCGCGCTTGCCCAGGCCCCCGCCGCCGACGCCGCCGTCTTTGGCGGCGGCGTCGTCGCCGTGGTCGCCGCCGCCGCCGCCGCCGCCACCACCGCTGCCGCAGCCGCCCCGCCTCCTGTTGGGTTTCCGACCATCGCTCGGGCCTCGGGCGGCCGTTAACGACGTCTCTGGCGCCCCCGGAACGCTCCCGGCGAGGCGCAGCTGATGGAAAGCGCTCCGTGCCCCGGACGCATCGGCTTAGGCTTCCTGGAAACCTTCCGGAGATTGCACATCGAGTGCACACCACCTCCGAGCACGTCTGGGAACTCCAGGAACAAAACAGCGACCGCCCCACGTTTCAGGCGGGCCTGCCCCTCTGCAGGGGGGATACTCCAAAATAATCAAAAAATAGTCCGGGGACGATTTTTGGAGCATTTTTGAATATTTGGGGGGTATTTTTTTTGAGTGTATTTTATTCTTTCACTCAAAAAATAAAACCCTGTAGGGGGGCACGCCCGACTGAACCCTACGTGCCGCGGGCGGAGCGGGCGCGGCCCGTCCTCCCGGCCCTCTCTCTCTTCGGGTGCGGCTCCCGGGGCGGCAGGCTCTGACTTCTGCCCCGGCCCGGCCTCGGGCTCCGTGCGGCTCAGGGCCTCGGGGCCAGGGCTATCCTGATGAGCGTGTTTTCCACCACCACCACCATAAGTTGGAGGGGGGGGTCCTCCTCCTCCTCCTCCTCCTCCTCCTCCTCCTCCTCCTCCTCCTCCCCCTTCGCCCCATCCAACTTATGGTGGTGGTGGTGGAAAACGCGCTCATCATATCCGGCCTCATCCGAGCACTTTCTCTGTACGGTAGGTTCGCGTCGTGTCGACCAGCGGCGACCCCAGCGCGGGCGTTCAAGGTTGAACGCCGCCGGCGACCCAGAATCGATCGATGTTGAACGATCGGACGTTGCGGAGACGGCCGATCGTTCAAGGTTGAACGATCCAGCGCGGTGTCAGGAATCAACGCCAGGGTCGACACGGCACGGACCTGCCGTAGGTGGAGGGCAGAGGGCGAAATCTGAAATGCCGCTTCGATGGAGGGTCGAGGCTTGGGCAAGTTCTGACTTCTGCCCTGGTCCGGCATCGGGCTCAATGCGGCTTAGGACCAGGGCTATGCGGCCTCATCCGAGCACTTTCTTTGGGTGGAGGGCAGAGGGCGAACTCTGGAATGCCGCTTCGATGGAGGGTCGAGGCTTGAATCCTCAGAAGGTGAACCACGAGACGGACTGAGTTTCGAGGTGCAAGGCCCACATGGATTTCACCCTGAGCCCTCCACCCTGAGAACATGCCCAGTTCATCCCGCTTGATCTGGCTGAATCCCGCTGGGTCCCCGGCCTAAATCCGGCGCAGCAGCCCGGGGCTACATCTTCTGTAATCCTTCCAGCGAAGTTCGGGGGAAAACAAACCTACCTCGCTTTTGACCACCCTCGCTTCCAAGAGATACCAAACAATGCCAAATTGCGGCCTGTACTGGTCATGCCGCTTGACGAGGAGGCGCGTGGTATGGCTTGGTTTTGCCTGGAAGCGAAAGCGGGGGAGGTAATTCACGCTCTGAGAAGTCCCCCCCAACAGTTGCCTCCTATTTTCTTCGCCGGTGCTTGCCTCCTAAGCCCTTCGCCGCCGCCGCCCGCCGCCTCTCCACGCGCGCGCGGCGCGGCGCCCCCCCCCGCGGCAGGCCCCGTCAGCGCCCGCGCGGCGCCCTCGCCAGCGCCGCGCGGCGTGTCCGTCGGCTACGGCTTGGGGCCTCAGCTCGGCTCGCGCCGACGTCGCGTCGCCGCCTCCGCAGTCGCCGTCGCCGTCGTCGTCGTCGTCGTCGTCGTCGTCGTCGTCGTCGCAGCCCTCGAGTCGAGTCGCCGTCGTCGCCATCGTCGTCGTCGTCGTCGTCTTCGTCGTCGTCGTCGTCGTCGTTGTCGTATTCATCGTCAATGTCGCCTTCGTAGGCGGCGGTGTCGCCGTCGTCGTCTGCATCGCCGCCGCCGCCGTTTTGGTCTGTGACGGAGTCTTGTGGCCTCTACAGTTACGGCCCGCTGTGGCACCCCTCACAGACAGTTATACTTAAAGTCTCAGTTGTGGTCTGTGGAGCCCGTGAATGGCATCCTATCTCGGGGCAGCATCGTGGGTCAGCTGACCAGACACACGGGATTCACACATCTGTGTATGTGTACATATATATATATATATGTATGCATTCTCATGGGGACGCGTCGATGATCATCATCGGCGTCATGAGCGTTCTCGTCGTCCGCATTGTCGTCATCGTCGTCATCATCGTCGTCATCATCTTTGTCGTTACCCGTGAGACTCCGTCCGACACCCGGCACGGTCGCGAAACCCCAGCGTCTGGACGACGGAGGCGGCAGCAGCGGCGATGATGGCGGCGACGGCAGCAGCAGCGGCGCCGCTGGCGGCAGCGGCGACGGCGCCGGCAAGCGGTGAGTGCAACGCTTGGGGCGAGCCACGTCCTGTGGCTCAGGCCGGGCGCGGACGGCAGCAGAGGGATGCCCTGCCTCGCCGCGCCCGTCGGCGCTCGCGGCGCCCGGCGCGGGGGATGCCCCGGCTCTCGAGCGACGCGTCGAGCTGGCTTCGACCAGCCGGCGGCGGCGGCGGCGGCGCGCCAGCAGAGGCGCACGACGGCCACGGCGGCGGCGACGGCGGCGACGGCGACAGTGGCGGCGACGGCGGCGGCGGCAGCGACGGCAACGGGCGGCGGCGAGGGCGGCGACGGCGGCGACGCCAGCTGCGGCGGCGGCGGCGACGTCTGCGGCGGGGGCGGCGGCAGACGCGGGGCGAGGCCGCCGCGAGGGGGCACCGGCCGCGCCACCGGGGCGGCAGGGCGAGGCCGGCCGCGCCGAGCCTCGGCGGCGCGCCGGGCAGGGGCTCCGACGGCGGCCAGGTCGAGCCCTCGGTGTCCGGGAGCTCGGAGGCGAGCGGGGGTCGGGGTTCAGCTCGGGACGATGGAGCTGGTCTCGGCAAGAAAGGGTACAGAGTCACACAGCAGTTCCTGTTCGTTTTGAGCAGGGCTTGCTGTCCGCGCCGCCGCGGACGTTGTCCATTCGAGACGGAAGGCCGCCTACCCGACAGCGGCCGCTGTCGGTTTTGGACAACATGTGTTGTTGGGCGTCGTACCTATATTCTCGTAACCATGTCGCGCGTCCAAATCAAGAGGCGGGGGTCCATGCAAACGGGGGTCAGTCAGAGCGCGAGATCTTGCAGGATCCTGCCGAGCAAGGGGTGCACTGACCCTGGTTTGGTCGGCGTCACCCCAACATATTAATACTATATGTGTGTCGCGCGCCCAGAGGCGACGCGCGCGCCGACAATTCTTATAGTAGAGCGTCGTACGGGCGCTTTCTGGCCACATCGCTCGGGAATTGCAAGACTACAAGATGGGTGTACCTCATGTTCGGGTCGGACGCGCGCCTCCAATGAGGAGCGGTTGGTCGGCGCGCTGCCCCCGCGAGGCCAGCGCCCTCCCCGGCGCCCCGAGATCACCACCCACCACCAACCCACCCCAACCCAACCCGAAGGTACCGATTTGCCATCCATTTCCAGTGAGGGGGGGGTCGGGGAACATCGAAAAAACACGTATGGAGCCCATACCCCCCCCTCACCCCGAAATTCGGGTCTTCGGGTTGGGTTGGGGTGGTCTGGTAGGTAGTCACGAGCGGTTGGCCGGCGCGCTGCCCCCGCGAGGCCAGCGCCCTCCCCGGCGCCCCGAGAGGGTCTGCGGGCGGCGAGGCGCCGGAGGGCTCGCAGTCGGCAGGCGCCAGCAGCGCGGCGCCGGGCGACGGCCTGAGGCACGACGGCTGCGGCTCCTGGGGCGCCTTCCCGCATCCGGGCGGCTGGGACCTCGGGGCAGGGAAGCCGCCGCAATATATATATATATATATATATATATATATGTATACATGTGTATCTATATATATATATGTGTACACACATATATATGTATATATATATATGTATATATATACATATATATATGTATTCATACATTTACATGTATGTATGTATGTATTGTATGTTAGCATGCATGCATGCATGCATGCATGCATGTATGTATGTATGTATGTATGTATGTATGTATGTATGTATGTATTTATGTATGCAATATATGTATATACATGTATACAGACATATGCGTATGTATGTCTATATGTATGTATGCATTGTGCACACCCATGTATATATAGGTATGTATACAAACACACACATGTATATATATATATATATATATGTGTATATACATACACACATAAATATACATATATATATATATATATATATATACACATACACGCACATCGGCGTAGGCCTCGGGCGGGCCAGGGACCATGACCCTGGGTACGCATGGCCGGGCAGGTGCTCCAGAGGGGGCCCTCGTGGTTCCCAAAGAGTCCTCGTGGTCGCACAGAGGGCCCACAAATTGGTACGACAATCTACCAGACTGGGCCTAGCACACCCCGAGAGCACCGAAGATGCTTTCTGAACAGCCTACGCAGGCTTCCAGGCTGCGCCAGGACGGCCCCGTGTAAGCTTCAGTGGGCGCCTGAGGTCACAGACGACTGCCCCGAGAGGCAATTGTCAATGATTTTGCTAGGGTTTTTCGATGTTTTCGGTGCCCTCTGTCACTCCACGACGGCCTACGAGGCCTCCGACACCGTCTCAGGACGAGCCTGGCGGCCATCAGGAAGGCCCCGAGATGGCCGCCTAACAGAGTTCACGACCCCGGCGCCCGAGACGGCCTCCGAGGCCCTGAAGACGGCCCCAAGGTGGCCTTCAAAGGGGGGTCATGAAGCGACATTCCGAGTCTTTCGACTCATGAAGCTCCCCGGAGGCCTCCAGAAGGCGCCAGGACGGCCCTGGGCAGGCTCGAGAGGGCGTCCGAGGCCCCAGCAGAGAGCCCTGAGAAGCAAGAATCACTGTTTTCGTCTGGATTTTTCAATGTTTTCGATGCCCTCTCTTTCTCGACACCCTGACACTGCACGACGGCCCACAGGGCCTCCGACACCGCCTCGGGACGGGCCCGGCGGCCTGCGAGAAGGCCCCGGGACGGGCTATAGCAGGGCTCCATGACGCCCCCAGGGACGCTCAAGACGCCCCGAAATGACGTCCAGAGGGAGGGCATCCGCCTCCTGCAGCCTCCCGCAAACCTGAAGAAGGCACCAGGACGGCCCCTGGCAGGCTCCAGATGGCGCCCGAGGCCCCAGACCCATGGCCCGAGAAGCAAGAATCAGTGTTCTCGCTATGGTTTTCACCGTTTTGGGGCTCCCCCATTCTTCGAGCTTCCGACAATCCACGACGGCCCATGAGGCCCCCAACACACAGTTTCAGGACGAGCCCAGAGGCGCCCAGGGCGACCCGGAACGGCCTAACAGAGTTCCTTCACGACCCCAGGGGCGCCCGAGACGGCCTCCGAGGCCCGGAAGACGGGCCCAAGGTGGCCTTCAACGGGGGGTCATGAAGCGACAGTTCGAGTTTTTCGACTCATGAAGCTCCCCGGAGGCCTCCAGAAGGCGCCAGGACGGCCCTGGGCAGGCTCCAGAGGGCGTCCGAGGCCCCAGCCGAGTGCCCCGAGAAGCAAAAATAATTGTTTTCATTCGGACTTTTCCCCAAACAGCTTGCTGACGGGGTGCTGTTGTGATAGAAGCTAACTCCGGGCGAGGGAATTAAAAGCAGAGACGTCGTCAAAAAAATTGGTTGTCGAGCCCATTTCGCCTGAGACCTCCTCGAAACTCTCGTTTCTGAGTTGTCCAGGATTGGGCGTTTCGCCTGAGACATCCTCCAAACTCTGAGTTCCCAGATGCCGCGCGAGAGGTGGTCTGGCCCGTTTCGCTTGAGACATCCTCGAAACTCTGGGCTCGCAGATGCCGCGCGAGAGGTGGTCCAGCCCGTTTCGCCTGAGACATCCTCGAAACTCTGGGCTCCGAGATGCCGCGCAAGAAGTGGTCGGGCCCGTCTCGCCTGAGACATCCTCCAAACTCTGAGCCCTGATATGCCGTGCGCGAGGTGGTCTGGCGCGTTTCGCCTGCGACATCCTCGCAACTCTGAGCTCCCTGATGCCGCGCGAGAGGTTGTCCGGCCCGTTTCGCTTGAGAAATTCTCGGAACTCTGAGCCTCGAGGCGTCGCCCAAGAGGTGGTTTGGCTTGTTTCATTTGAAACATCCTCGCACTTTTGCATTCCGAGAGACCGCGCGAGAGGTTGTTTGGCCCGTTTCGTTTGAGACGTCCTCGAAACTGTGAGCTCTGAGATGCCGCGCGCGAGGTGGTCTGGCTTGTTTCGCCTGAGACATCCTCTAAACTCTGAGCTCTGAGCTGCCGCGCAAGAGGTGGTCCAGCCCATTTCGCCTGAGACATCCTCGCAACTCTGCGCTCTCTGATGCCGCGCGAGAGATGGTCCTGCCTGTTTCGCCCGAGACATTTTCCAACCTCTGAGCCCCGAGATGCCGCCCAAGAGGTGGTCCGGTTTGTTTCACTTGAGACATCCTCGCGCTTTTGCATTCCGAGATGCCGCGCGAGAGGTGGTCCGGCCCGTTTCGTTTGAGACGTCCTCGAAATTGTGAGCTCTGAGATGCCGCCCGCGAGGTGGTCTGGCCTGTTTCGCCTGAGACATCCTCGAAACTCTGAGCTCTGAGCTGCCGCGCAAGAGGTGGTCCAGCCCATTTCGCCTGAGACATCCTCACACTCTGACCTCGGAGATGCCGCGCGCGACGTGGTCCAGCCCGTTTCGCCTGAGACATCCTCGCAACTCTGAGTTCTGAGATGCCCTGCGCGAGGTGGTCCGGCCCGTCTCGCCTGAGACATCCTTGCAACTCTGAGCTGTGAGATGCCGTTCGCAAGGTGGTCCGGCCCGTTTCGCACAAGACATTCTCGCAACTCCGAGCTCCCAGATGCCGCGCAAGAGGTGGTTTAGCCTAGGGGTCCCGAAGACCTCGAGCCCCAGGAGGCCCCAGAGAGCTTCAGGAGGCCGCATGACGCCCAGGACAGGCCCCAGGGGTCCCCAGGAGATTCCCGGGAGGCTCCCAGGAGGCCCCCCATCAGAACGTGTCAAGTTAATACACATCCGGTGCCGATTCGTTGATTCTTCCTGCTCTTGTGGCCTTTTCCCTCCCTCCGTTTTTGGGGGCCCAGACGGCCAAATGTCAGAGATCCCCCTCTGGGAGCCCCAAGAGGCTTCTGGAAGACCCAGGTGGGGTCCAGGAGGCCCCATGAGGCCCAGGAGGAAGCCCCAGGAGGTCCCCAGGAGGCCCCAGGAGGCCCCAAGAGGCCCCCGCAACTCGGAGCTCTGAGACGCCGCGCTCGAGGTGGTCCGGCCCGTTTCGCCTGAGACTTCTTTGCAGCACGTTTCGCCCGAGACATCGTCGCAACTCAGGGGTCCGAGATGCCGCGCGCGAGGTGGTCCATGCCAGCCCGCACTGGACGGGCACGCAATCGACCTTGGAAACCGCAGTGGGTTAAAAAACCCTGTTTGGGGATACTGCACTCCGGCTATAATTCAATGTTTTCGGTGCTCTCTCCCTCTCGACGTGCCTCAGGACGGGCCTGGCGGCCCCCGATCTCCACAGGGGGAGCATGAACCGAAATTTCAATTTTTCGCCCCAAGAAGCTCTCAGGAGGCCCCAAGAAGGTTCCCAGATATTTCCACGGGGCTCCAAGAGGACCAAAATATGCCTCCGCGACGACCCGAAAGGCTCCCAGACCGGCCCCACGAGGCCAAATGACGGCCCCCCAGAGGCCCCTGTGAGACTTCCTTTGGCACCCCTCCTTCCTTGCCCTGTCCAGCACAGCTCCTGCCGTTGTTCTTTCGTTACCGCACGCCTCCCCAATTTCATTTCGCAGCCGCACCACCAAGACAACATCTCCGAATGGCTCATTCTGGCTGTCCTGCGGGCTTTGCGGGCTCCTTTGAGGTACCTGAGCGACCTCCACGAGGATCCCAATGCGGCCCCACACCATCATGTTCCCCGAGAGCCTTCCGGGAACGTGATTGTCACCGCCACTCGGCCAAGGAGGCCGAAGATGAGCAGGTCGGTTCGCGCCGTCCCACCGAACACCCCAATTCAGCGCAGCGCCTTGCCGTGGCCTTTCCAGCCCCTGCCGTTCTTCAATCGAAAACTTGCGCCTTCCCCATCTCCCTGCCAAGCCCCACCACCATCTCAACCTTGAAAATGCGTCCGCTGGCCCGTCCTTCGGGTCGGGCAGCCTCAATCGTATAATCCTGAAGCCGAGCGCCCCCACGCGGCCCACCTCATCATGCTCCCCGCGAGCCCTCCGGGAACATGATTGTCGCCACCTGGCCGACTATGTGACCTACGACGAGAAGGCGGAGGACGAGGAGGCAGAGGAGGAGGAGGAGGAGGAGGAGGAGGAGGAGGAGGAGGAGGAGGAAGAAGACAATGCGGACAGAAAAACGACAAACAGAGACCCACGCAGGGCCCAAGGCGGCCCCAGGGGCGCCCAAGCCAGCCCAGGATGGTCAACGACAAGAGGCCCAGACGCGGCCCGCAAACGGCCCCCGCGCGGCTTCCGTCGCCTTCGCACGGAGCCCAAAATCCGGCCCCAAGAGCCACACAGCGGCCCCCAGGAAGCCGTCGCGACGCCTTCTTCGACACCCCTCCTTCCGTGCTCTGTCCAACCCAGCTCCTACCGTTCTTGGTTCGTTACCGTACGCCTCTCCCATCTCCCTTCGCAGCCGCACCACCATGACAACACACAACTGTGTATATATATATATATGTATATACACATATATGTATATACACATACAAACAAGACTGCAGTGGCGCTTCGTGCCATGCACCTTAGTCCTTGCAGTTTGGTATGCAGGCGGAATGTCAGGCAGGCCAAG